AATCGGGCATCAAATGTGTTTATGAGTCCGACAAACTTGTACCATCCCTTAATGAGAAATTTGTTGGAAAAGGCTATTCGTGTGAAGGAATGGTCATATTATGTACCGTTGACAATGAAATGAATAAAAGTAATTTTGCTTATATTGTGAATTTATTTTCATTATGACATGCTAGATTAGGTCATGTTGGTAGAAATACAATAAAATGCATGAAAAAATATAACTTGATCTCATATGATGAAAATGATGAACATAAATGCAAAATATGTGTAGAATCTAAAATGATTAAAAAATCATATCAAAGTGTTAAGAGAACATCTAGTATTTTAGAATTAATTCATACTGATATATGTGAACTTAATGATATGTTAACTAGAGGTAGAAGTAAATATTTCATAACTTTTATAGATGACTTTTCTAGATATACTTATATTTATTTGATAAAACATAAAAGTGAAGCCTTTGACATGTTTAAGACATACAAGAAAGAGGTTGAAAATTATCTAGGAAAGAAAATTAAAATTTTAAGGAGTGATAGAGATGGTGAATACTTTTCCAATGATATTAATTTGTTTTGTGAACAACATGGAATTATTCATCAATGTTCCGCACCTATGACATCCGAACAAAACGGCTTGGCTGAAAGAAAAAATAGAACATTTGTAGAAATGATAAATGTCATGCTTATTCATGCTAAGTTGTCATTTAACTTGTGGGGTGAAGTTTTATTAAGTGCATGTAGAATACTTAATATAATTCCTTCAAAATATACTAAGGTTTCTCTTTATGAATTGTGGAAAGGAAGAAAATCAAACATTGGATACTTCAAAGGGTGTCTTGCCTATTGCAAGAAGACGAATCTTAATAGGACCAAATTGGGTCCAAGAGGCATTAAATGTGTCTTTTTTGGATATGTAAATAATAGCAAATATTATAGATTACTAAATTTGGAATCCAATGTGATTATCGAATCCAACGATGTGGAGTTCTTTGAGGATTCGTTATCTTCGGATAATGAATTGAGGGAAAATCTTGAAAATATCCCTGGCTCAAGTGGAACACATGATGAAATGTCTTCTAAGGATGTTGATGAATCTAGTGAACCATGAAGAAGCAAGAGAACTCGAGTTGAAAAGTCTTTGGGATTGGATGAAATCGATTCTCAACTTATCTCCTTTTACTTAGTAGAGAGAAATGAGTTGAATGTTGTGAGAACAATTCTTTTTGTTCTACAAGTAGAGACCAACCCTAAGACTTGTAAAGAAGCTATGGCTTCTTGTGATAACATTTTTTGGAAAGATGCAATTAAGGACGAAATGGATTCGATAATGTCCAATAATACTTGGAAACTTGTTGATTTACGACCGGGATCCAAGCCTATTGGATGCAAATTGGTATTTAGGAGAAAATACAATGTTGATAGATCCTTAAATACCTTCAAGGCTAGATTAGTAGCTAAAGGATATCGACAAAAGGAAGGAATCGACTATTTTGACAATTATGCATCGATAGCTAGAATAACATCGATTATGATATTATTCGCTTTGGCTTCAATATATAACTTGCATGTTCATCAAATGGATGTCAAGACAGTATTCTTAAATGGAGATCTCGATGAGAAGGTCTATATGGAACAATTCGAAGGGTTTGCCCTACCTAGAAATGAACATAAAGTGTGCAAATTGGTGAATTCTTTATATGGTCTGAAGCAAGCACCAAAGAAATGACATGAGAAGTTTGACTTAGTAATAATATCATTCGGGTTTAAACATAATAGCGTTGATAAATGTTTATATTCTAAAGTTTGTGATGATTATGTGACATTTATATGCTTGTATGTTGATAACATGCTGATTATGAGTAATCACATGGACGGAATAGAAGAAACAAAGAGGTTTCTTTCTTCCACATTTAGGATGAAAGATATTGGATAAGTGGATACCATTTTAGGTACCAAAGTCACAAATACTAGTGGGGGTTACTATCTAAGTCAATCACATTATATTGAGAATGTGATAAATAAGTTCAGACATTTGAACATAAAGGAATGTAGTACCCTGATTGATCCATGTTCAAAAATAATAAAGAATGATGGAAGGACGATTGCTCAATTGGAATATGCAAGTGCTATATGGGAGTCTTATGTATGTTGTTCAATGCACAAGAGCAGATATAGCTTATGCAATAAGTAAACTTAGTAGGTTTACTAGCAATCCGAGTAATGATCATTGGAAGGCTATAGTGAGAGTTCTTGGATACTTAAAGAAAACCAAGAGCTTGGGCCTACAATATAATAAATTCTTGACGATATTGGAAGGATTTACCGATACAAGTTGGATATCTAGCACGGGTGAAAGTAAATCCACTTCGGGTTAGGTATTCACTCTTAGAGGAGGTGTTGTTTCTTGGAAATCAAAGAAACAAACATGTATAACACACTCGACCATGAAATCTGAATTTGTAGCTTTATCGGATACTGGAAAAAAGGCTGAGTAGCTTAAGGATCTCTTATATGAGATACCTTTGGGATCGAAGAATATTTCTTTAATACCTATCATATGTGATAGTCAAGCCACGTTAGCAAAGGCATATAATGAGGTATACAATGGAAAGTCTAGACATATGAGTCCAAGACATGACTAACATAAGGAAATTAATCAAATATGGAATAATTTCTCTAAATTATTTAAGGTCAATCGAGAATTTAGCGGATCCTTTAACTAAAGCACTAAATAGAGATTTAGTGACGTCTACTTCGAGTATGATGGGGTCGAAACTCTTTAATTAAAAAGGTCTACCAACGACGACAACCCTACCTGTCATTACTCAAAAGGTAATCCACGAGTTCAAAGATTAACAAAAAGTCATTCAATATGTGAATGGTTGCAACATTATTCAAATTCGCAATAACCCTATCCTAATAAAAATAATGTTGGTTGTTACTGATGTGAGGGTTGAGCTTAAAGCTCTGAATGAAATTCAGTGCTAAAACACAAGTACCTTTAAAAGTAACGAAGGTATTAGAAGAACTTCACATAGACTAACTTAGAAGTGGTGCCGCCTCAATAGAGAGTTGGAGTTCCTCTCTTAAAAGTTTCTTGAATAGGATGGGTGCAAGACCATAAAAGCGCTAAACGATTTGAGGAATTTGAGAACACGTGATACTTATGTATGTGTTCTTACCGATATTGTCACAAGGAATAATTGGTTCAAAACTTCCATGCTACCTCTAATTCCGACTTTACTTTATTTGAATTACACTATGGTTAGATTCAAAACGAAAGATATCTAATCCTTATACATACGTGTCGTCTTTTTGAATATGTGATCGTATTGATTTTGAACAAGTGGGAGATTGTTGAATATCTGTTCAAAATCAATGGAATGATAATGGATTAATTGTTTGGCTCAATTGTGGAATTGGTAGAATCAAAAGAAATTGAAAAATGCAATATTTGATTTTTTTTTTTTTTGCCCATGTGTACGCACAGGCTTATTTTTGTGCGTACGCGAGATGTATTTTGACAAAATCAGAATTAAATTTTGCTTCTACTATGCGTACGCACAGTTTATACTATGCGTACGCATAGTGTTAAAAAATAGCCGTTGGCTGATTTTTCAATTTGAAACTTGGGAACCGTTTTGGATTAAAAGTTGCCACTTCTCATCTTGTTTTGGTACCATTTCGCGATGTATTAATTGCGACCTATAAATAAGTGATGAATGATCAATACAAACATAATTAGAATCATTAAAAACACTTTGAGATCCATTTATCATTCCATATTGAATCAAACTATTAATTTACATTCATAATCAAGATCTTCCTTTGTGTTCTTAAAGTTTTGGAGGATTGTATTTGTGCTTTTGTGTTAAATCCTTTACAAGACTTGATATAATCCTACAAACCGTTTGCCAAAACCCTTAAGCATCTCATTCAATCTTGAGAGGGGCCAAATATAATTTGAGGATAAAGATCCCGTGTTCAAATCTCAATTTCGTTCTTGACGTATTTCGTGATTTCTATTCATTTTGTTTCTATCATTTTATTGTTGTTTCTTCTCCAACCCCTTATTTTCCAACATTATGTATATTCAATTAAAAATGTATTTTAAAAATAGAAAATCAATTAATTAATTAAACGGAAGGTAAATCAAGATTTTTTAATTCCCGTCCCGTCCCGTCCCGTCCCATCCCAACTCCCAAACGTCTCGGATAGGACAGGAATGGTAATGGGCTCTCCAACCCAAACCCCTATTCCTACCCGTTGCCATCTCTAGACTAAAATCTAACCGAAAGATAGTATACGCTAATTCACTAAAATATTACATACCTTCAAAATTTATTATAAATAATCATAAAAAATAAGTAAATTTGTACGATTAAATTTCAAACTTTGTCGAATAAATTCTATATATAATATGTCAATTTATATTCTTATAATTTATTGAGAAAATTTCATCTTTTTTTCATAAGAGCATTTTATGCATATCAACCTCATTTTTAAGATAATATATGGCTCAAAAATTGATCAGTGGTGTACGTAATACTCAAAACTATAAATCGAAGAGATCAGAGAGATTTTCCAAACCGAATTGTCTCTAATATCATCTCATATAAATAACATTAAGGAGATGATCAATATTACACACAACATGGAATTTTAAGTTCTTGCAGCCTTGAATGCTCTGTGATAACTGGAATTTCACAGATTGTTTGCTTTTGATCGTTAATGTGGATGAATTGCAATGGCAGGTCGGAGGCTATGTGGTGGAATACAATGGGTTAACATTTGTAACAGTGAGAGGAGCCGGACATACTGTTCCAAGCTATCAGCCTCAGCGCGCTCTTACCATGATTTCTTCCTTCCTTCAAGGGACTCATCTTCCCTTCTAGGGATCTGAATTTAACCACACCAAACAAGTTCGTTCATGTTTATCATTCTTAATTCCTTCGTAGGCCAAGGTACAAATATTTTGTATAACGACAAAACAACCAGGTTAAACCAGTTGGCAATCATGCCCTTAGCTTCTTATCGCATTTCTGTGTAATAACTCATTCAGACAGCAAGTTTGCTTCCATTTACAATGGTTAAACTACTATTGTTTCATCTACAGTAAATGTCTAATGCAGGAAAAAGTTCTGTCTGTTTTAAGGTTGTCTTTTTGTCTTTCACAGGCAACTCAAATCCAGAATTGCTTTACAATAAAGGCTAAACCTAAAGACTAAGAACTGAATTACATTAAGGAAAAAAATGAATCTTCTGCTCGGACCAGGACATTGTTGGTTCGCTTTTGAAGCAGATAATGTAGCGGAATCAGATACAGGTCTTGCAGCCACTGTTGATCCTCTTATTCTCGATGCAAAGCTTGAGAGCATCGTCAAAAATGGAGTCACCTAAGTACATGTGCACACTGCAAACGACAGCAAACACTTCTCAACCTTCAGTAGTGTTTTAAACACTGTAGGTCACCCAACTTACAACTAAGTTCCATTTTAGTCACTCAACTAAGGATTTCATTTCAAACAAACTGTCCCTGTTTAGCACTAAAAGTCTAAAACTAACCTGCTGCAGTTATTACGCCTACCAGTGCGTTGTGATCTCCACTTAACATGGCCACTATTACTGATTCACGTGATAATATGCATATTTTGCCTGGAAAATCATGAATTACTAGTGAATTGTTGCTACGCCGTGCAATTTAGCACTTGTTCGTGCTTCTTCAAATGCAATACTTTAACTTATATCCAATAAATTAAATGTGCGAAACTTCAAAACAACAAAAAACTATGCCATACACAGTTTCCTCTCTGCCTATAGAAGCTAAAAGGAAAAAAGTTTGCAGCAAACTTACATAGAGAGAGAGCAATTATACATCACAGAGACATATATAGAGCAATGCATCAAATTTATGTTGCATGATTATAATTTACAAAACCGCACTGCATGCTCAATCCGTCATAAGAAAATTCCTATTTTCAGCCTTCACACAACTGAATCAAACCACAAAAATTCACAACGAATTCAAAAAAATGCATCAGGCCCCAAGCAGCAAGCACTTGAATTTTGATTTCTAGGCTCCAGTCATGGTTAATTACATAAGTACTCCTGAGAATTGCAATGAAGTTTAGTTTTCAAACAAGAATGTCAGGAGGGTTTCAATAAATTTCCTCACCTATTAAGTAAAGCTCAGGCTGGAATTGTCAATGCCATTAGCCTTCACCATCACCTGCCTTGGTCACCTTCTGTCCCGCCAAAACCGCACAAAGCCACCTCTGTCAAGGAACACCACAACCTGCCACCACTACCATCACCCACCGTCTCTCAACCCAACACCTCCATGATATTGTCGTTGCAACACCACTGTTGCTTTAAACTCTCACAAACCACCTCTGCACTATGCTGAACAATGACGATGGAGAGTCAATGGATTTGAAATCAACATAAAGTGAGCCTCAAATTGGTTAGGTTTTATGGTGAACTTATAACCTTAGAAAGTGTGAGTTATCAAACACCATTACCGGATTTGGGAAATTGATTTCAAATCCATCAATCTAAATGGGATCCTCAAAGATTTGCCTTAACCAATAAAAAATGACCTAAAAGCTGTAATAAAAAGCCCAGACATCAAATTAATGCCACTAACCCTTTACCGGCGGCATTAATTCAATATGTTGAATATTTGGTGCAAAGTATTAGTACATCCACTTCCCACTCTGACATGGAGTGATATCAATTTTGCACCTTTTATTCTAGCATCAGTAAAGTGACCTTTCTGAAATAACGATCCAGAAAGGTGTATCTCGATGCAACTTTTTCTCTTTCAATCTTTCTATGCTCAAGAAAATCCTGATGTACTTCATATTAGATGTTGACATGTTATTATGGTTACCCAAAATTACTAAAGAATCTGTTTGCCACTTAATTCAATCTCTCATTTACAGCCTATATCATTATTTACTTCCATATTTCTCCAAATGAATCCTGGAGATATTCTATGTTCCTGGCAATGATTTGGTCAAACTTCATTATCAACCACATACCACGTATTAAAATGGATTATTTTCCACTGGACAGTGTAACGGAAACTTCCAAATGAAAATGGCTGCTCGACGGTTGGTTTTTCAGATTCATTTTTCTTGTTACTAGTCTCTCTCTGGAGCCTTCTTCGAGAGAGATTTTTCATCTCTTTCTTCTCTTTGGTTAAATTTTTCTTGTGTAATTGTATTTTTACACTAGGCCTTAATAATTTGTGGGTTGGTTTTTGTGGCTGTTGGTTTCGGTTTGTGTAAACTATGGAGTTAGGGCTAAGTACTGTGGAAGGATTTGTGTTTGGTTTCGTAGATCTGTTGATCAATGATCGAAACTTGTGTATTCTGAGTGGTTTGATGTAACTTTGGTTCTCTTGGACGGCAATTTGCATAGTGGAACGGGTTCAACTACTGAGCCCCCCAAATTAGGCCGTGTTTGGTTGAACTAGGTCAACAAATTTCGTTGTTTTGTCTTGTTTTTCGTTTTATCATTTGAGTACTTTGATTTATTGTTTTCAGTCAGAGTTCTTTATCATCAAGAAATACCCAACAAAATTGGTATCAAAGCCAAGAGGGTTTCTGGATGTGCTTCTTTACACAAGTTATTCTTTAGGTCGAAGAAAAAATATTTTGAATCTGAATTTTTTTTTAAGATCTGTCGATTTTTTAAAGGATCTGACAAAATTTTTTCACTAATAATCTTATTTTGTGACTTTTCAGTGAGTAACGGTGGACTTATCACCACTTGGCCACTGGTGATTGTGTTCTTGGTCTCAGGATTGATCCCTTTTTTACTGTTTTTCACAAACAGTAGTTTGGGGAGAAATTTCCATAAATCTTTATAATTGTTGAACTATTGATGCATGTTTATTGATATATGTAACTACATAGTTACTTTCTTGTATGGAAGATGAATCTGACTTGCATGGACATATGTCTGCTCAATGATACGTTATGTTTCGAAATTGCTTAAGACTGCAGCTTGCAATTCTTGATACATAATTACTGTCATTGTGATCATTATTGATATTAATATAATTCTTGATCAAAAATCATACTTATCTGCTTCAATTACTATATTTTGATAAGTGCTTTAAATTGGAATTTTTTTAAAAACCTTTTCTGTTAATAGTTTGATCTGCACATGAGATCACACTATGTCCATGAGTGTTGCCACCCTTTTACACAACCTGCAATGGGTTTACAGGTCAAATTAAGTCAATTCGATGGAAAGAGAGACTACGCTATATGGAAACAGAAAATGATGGCCATTTTGGTCCAACAGAGGGTTGCAAAAGCCCTTGATGCTCCAGAAAAATTTCCTGATGAACTTAAAGCTAAACCTAGTGAAATTGAAGAGATGAACGAAATTGCATATAGTTCAATAATTTTGCATTTATCTGATAACATGGTTAGACAAATTGATGAGTCTAAGACTACTAGAGATTTATGGACTGCTCTTGACAATATATTTCTGACCAAAACTTTACCAAATAAAATCTATCTTTTGGAAAAACTATTTAGTTTCAGAATGGACCCAGAAGTAAAGTGACCTTTCTGAAATAACGATCCAGAAAGGTGTATCTCGATGCAACTTTTTCTCATTCAATCTTTCTATGCTCAAGAAAATCCTGATGTACTTCATATTAGATGTTGACATGTTATTATGGTTACCCAAAATTACTAAAGAATCTGTTTGCCACTTAATTCAATCTCTCATTTACAGCCTATATCATTATTTACTTCCATATTTCTCCAAATGAATCCTGGAGATATTCTATGTTCCTGGCAATGATTTGGTCAAACTTCATTATCAACCACATACCACGTATTAAAATGGATTATTTTCCACTGGACAGTGTAACGGAAACTTCCAAATGAAAATGGCTACTCGACGGTTGGTTTTTCAGATTCATTTTTCTTGTTACTAGTCTCTCTCTGGAGCCTTCTTCGAGAGAGATTTTTCATCTCTTTCTTCTCTTTGGTTAAATTTTTCTTGTGTAATTGTATTTTTACACTCGGCCTTAATAATTTGTGGGTTGGTTTTTGTGGCTGTTGGTTTCGGTTTGTGTAAACTATGGAGTTAGGGCTAAGTACTGTGGAAGGATTTGTGTTTGGTTTCGTAGATCTGTTGATCAATGATCGAAACTTGTGTATTCTGAGTGGTTTGATGTAACTTTGGTTCTCTTGGACGGCAATTTGCAGTGCAATTTAGCACTTGTTCGTGCTTCTTCAAATGCAATACTTTAACTTATATCCAATAAATTAAATGTGCGAAACTTCAAAACAACAAAAAACTATGCCATACACAGTTTCCTCTCTGCCTATAGAAGCTAAAAGGAAAAAAGTTTGCAGCAAACTTACATAGAGAGAGAGCAATTATACATCACAGAGACATATATAGAGCAATGCATCAAATTTATGTTGCATGATTATAATTTACAAAACCGCACTGCATGCTCAATCCGTCATAAGAAAATTCCTATTTTCAGCCTTCACACAACTGAATCAAACCACAAAAATTCACAACGAATTCAAAAAAATGCATCAGGCCCCAAGCAGCAAGCACTTGAATTTTGATTTCTAGGCTCCAGTCATGGTTAATTACATAAGTACTCCTGAGAATTGCAATGAAGTTTAGTTTTCAAACAAGAATGTCAGGAGGGTTTCAATAAATTTCCTCACCTATTAAGTAAAGCTCAGGCTGGAATTGTCAATGCCATTAGCCTTCACCATCACCTGCCTTGGTCACCTTCTGTCCCGCCAAAACCGCACAAAGCCACCTCTGTCAAGGAACACCACAACCTGCCACCACTACCATCACCCACCGTCTCTCAACCCAACACCTCCATGATATTGTCGTTGCAACACCACTGTTGCTTTAAACTCTCACAAACCACCTCTGCACTATGCTGAACAATGACGATGGAGAGTCAATGGATTTGAAATCAACATAAAGTGAGCCTCAAATTGGTTAGGTTTTATGGTGAACTTATAACCTTAGAAAGTGTGAGTTATCAAACACCATTACCGGATTTGGGAAATTGATTTCAAATCCATCAATCTAAATGGGATCCTCAAAGATTTGCCTTAACCAATAAAAAATGACCTAAAAGCTGTAATAAAAAGCCCAGACATCAAATTAATGCCACTAACCCTTTACCGGCGGCATTAATTCAATATGTTGAATATTTGGTGCAAAGTATTAGTACATCCACTTCCCACTCTGACATGGAGTGATATCAATTTTGCACCTTTTATTCTAGCATCAGTAAAGTGACCTTTCTGAAATAACGATCCAGAAAGGTGTATCTCGATGCAACTTTTTCTCTTTCAATCTTTCTATGCTCAAGAAAATCCTGATGTACTTCATATTAGATGTTGACATGTTATTATGGTTACCCAAAATTACTAAAGAATCTGTTTGCCACTTAATTCAATCTCTCATTTACAGCCTATATCATTATTTACTTCCATATTTCTCCAAATGAATCCTGGAGATATTCTATGTTCCTGGCAATGATTTGGTCAAACTTCATTATCAACCACATACCACGTATTAAAATGGATTATTTTCCACTGGACAGTGTAACGGAAACTTCCAAATGAAAATGGCTGCTCGACGGTTGGTTTTTCAGATTCATTTTTCTTGTTACTAGTCTCTCTCTGGAGCCTTCTTCGAGAGAGATTTTTCATCTCTTTCTTCTCTTTGGTTAAATTTTTCTTGTGTAATTGTATTTTTACACTAGGCCTTAATAATTTGTGGGTTGGTTTTTGTGGCTGTTGGTTTCGGTTTGTGTAAACTATGGAGTTAGGGCTAAGTACTGTGGAAGGATTTGTGTTTGGTTTCGTAGATCTGTTGATCAATGATCGAAACTTGTGTATTCTGAGTGGTTTGATGTAACTTTGGTTCTCTTGGACGGCAATTTGCATAGTGGAACGGGTTCAACTACTGAGCCCCCCAAATTAGGCCGTGTTTGGTTGAACTAGGTCAACAAATTTCGTTGTTTTGTCTTGTTTTTCGTTTTATCATTTGAGTACTTTGATTTATTGTTTTCAGTCAGAGTTCTTTATCATCAAGAAATACCCAACAAAATTGGTATCAAAGCCAAGAGGGTTTCTGGATGTGCTTCTTTACACAAGTTATTCTTTAGGTCGAAGAAAAAATATTTTGAATCTGAATTTTTTTTTAAGATCTGTCGATTTTTTAAAGGATCTGACAAAATTTTTTCACTAATAATCTTATTTTGTGACTTTTCAGTGAGTAACGGTGGACTTATCACCACTTGGCCACTGGTGATTGTGTTCTTGGTCTCAGGATTGATCCCTTTTTTACTGTTTTTCACAAACAGTAGTTTGGGGAGAAATTTCCATAAATCTTTATAATTGTTGAACTATTGATGCATGTTTATTGATATATGTAACTACATAGTTACTTTCTTGTATGGAAGATGAATCTGACTTGCATGGACATATGTCTGCTCAATGATACGTTATGTTTCGAAATTGCTTAAGACTGCAGCTTGCAATTCTTGATACATAATTACTGTCATTGTGATCATTATTGATATTAATATAATTCTTGATCAAAAATCATACTTATCTGCTTCAATTACTATATTTTGATAAGTGCTTTAAATTGGAATTTTTTTTAAAAACCTTTTCTGTTAATAGTTTGATCTGCACATGAGATCACACTATGTCCATGAGTGTTGCCACCCTTTTACACAACCTGCAATGGGTTTACAGGTCAAATTAAGTCAATTCGATGGAAAGAGAGACTACGCTATATGGAAACAGAAAATGATGGCCATTTTGGTCCAACAGAGGGTTGCAAAAGCCCTTGATGCTCCAGAAAAATTTCCTGATGAACTTAAAGCTAAACCTAGTGAAATTGAAGAGATGAACGAAATTGCATATAGTTCAATAATTTTGCATTTATCTGATAACATGGTTAGACAAATTGATGAGTCTAAGACTACTAGAGATTTATGGACTGCTCTTGACAATATATTTCTGACCAAAACTTTACCAAATAAAATCTATCTTTTGGAAAAACTATTTAGTTTCAGAATGGACCCAGATTGTTAAGAGTTTGGCACACAATGATAAAAATTTTGATGATGAAGACCTTGCTATGATTTTATTGAATGCATTACCTGAATCACATAAAGATATTAGGAATGCTATTAAGTACTCTAGGGATAAGTTGACCCAAGCTATAGTGATAGATACCTTGAGAGCTAGAGAACTAGATTTAAGGAAGGAGTATAGGTCTAACCCTAGAGACGAGAGTATGCTTGTTAGGGGAAGACCAGAGAAGAGCAAAAATGGATTTCAAAGTAAAAAAATCAAGAGGGAGATCAAAAGGGAGATCAAAATCTCGAGACAAGAGTGATAAAAAATGTTACCACTGTGATACGACAGGTCATTTTAAAAGGGATTGTTTTGACTGGATAAAAAACAAAAAGATCAAAACAATGGGGAATTAAATAATGCAACTATGGGATCTGAACTTGACAGCCTGCATGTGATGACTATAACTAGTGATGAAACCAATAAAGACGGGATATTAGACTCAGGGTGTACCTTTCACATAAGTCCCATAAAATCATGGTTTTATAACAACAAGGATATAGAACCTAGGAAGGTTTATATGGGAGACATCAACTCTCAGGCTGTTGTTGTTGGGATTAGTGATATTGCCATGAAAATGCATGATGGCATTGTCAGGACATTAAGAAATATGAGATATTTACCCAATCTTAAAAGAAACCTAATCTCATTAGGGGTTCTTAAGGATGAGGGGTATGTTTTTAAATCTGATAATAAGGTTCTAAAAATTATTAAAGGGTCATTAATTGACATGAAAGGACCTAAGAGAAATGGCTTGTACTACCTTAAGGGTAATACCATGTCTGCACCTAACCAAGTCTGTTAAATGTTACATAGAATAAATCTAAATTGTGGCACAATAGGATGGATAATATTGGTAATAAAGGTTTAAAGTACCTCAGCAACCAACAATTACTTGGTAAGGACGACATTGAACCTTTGAATTTCCGTGAGACTTGTGTGTTGGATAAGTCTCATAGGGTGAGTTTTGAAATAAGTTCTTATAGTACTAATAGACCATTGGACTATGTGCATGCAGACCTGTGGGGACCTGAAAAACATCCTACGTTTGGGGGAAATAAGTATTTTTTGTCTATACTGGATAATTATTCCAGAAAAGGACAAATCTGAAACTTTTCAAAAATTTAGAAACTGGCTTAAGATAGTTGAGAACCAATTAGACAAAAAATTAAAAACTTTAAGGACTGATAATGGTCTTGAGTTTTGTAACTTTGAATTTGACAACTATTATAAGCAAAAAGGAATAATGAGGCATAGAACAGTCAGGTTAACACCCCAACAAAATGGGGTAACAGAGAGAATGAATAGGACTCTCATGAATAAGGTCAGGTGTATGCTTATTAGCTCAGGTTTAGCTAAAGGTTTCTGGGCAGAAGCAGTTAGTATACCTACATACTTTATTAATAGGTCTCCATCAAGTTCTGTGCACTTTAAAACACCACAGGAACTTTGGACAGGAAGACCACCAAGTCTGACACACATAAGGGTATATGGATGTGCAGCTTATGCACATCAGCCTGAGGGAAAATTAGAGCCAAAAGCCACCAAATATGTGATGTTAAGCTATCCTGAAAGTGTTAAAGGGTACAGATTATGGGTTTTGGGTAAACCGAGCATAAAAATTATTAATAGCAGAGATGTGGTTTTTAATGAATCTGAAATGCTGTGCCTAAAACAGAAAACTATTAAACCTGCATAACTTGGGAATGAAAAGAGTGTTCAAACTGAGGTGAAGTTAACTAGATTTAATTCGCTCCAACCTGAAGAAAGCAAAATTGAAATCCCTTTAACACAACAACAGAACCTGAACCTGAACCTATTGAATTAAATGAACCTCAGACTGGAAATGAAACTGAAAATAATAATCCCTCAACTAAAAACACTTCAATCCAAGATTACCAACTTACAAGGGATAGAAAAAGAAGGGAAAGAAGACCTAACCCAAGATATGAGTCTCAGAACCTAACTCATTTTGCCTTGGTGTCTGGTGAAACCATTGAACAAACTGAACCTGCTTCTTTTGAAGAAGCTGTGAGTGGTCCAAAATCTGTTTTGTGAAAAAGGCAATGGAAGAAGAGATGCAATCCCTAATGAAAAATAAAACATGGAAATTGGTTAATAATCCTAAGAATCATAGGATAGTGCAATGTAAATGGATTTACAAACTTAAAGAAGAGAATAATCCTAGTGATCCTTCTAAGTATAATGCCAGATTAGTGGCTAAAGGGTTTACACAAAAAGAGAGGGTTGACTATACTGAGATATTTTCCTCTGTGATCAAATATAAAACAATTAGAATAATTCTTGCCTTAGTTGTTCAGTACAATTGGGAGTTAGAACAACTTGATGTTAAGACTGCCTTCCTACATGGGGAATTAGAAGAGGATATACATATATATGAATTAGTCTCAAGGCTTTGAGGTGAAGGGCAAAGCTAATTGTGTGTGTAAACTGGAAAAATCCCTGTATGGTCTCAAACAAAGCCCAAGACAATGATACAAACGTGTTGACTCTTACGTTTAAAAGAAGTGATTATGATGCTTGTCTATACTATAATAATTCTAAGAGGGGACATGAGGTGTACTTACTATTGTATGTGGATGACATGCCCCTAAGTGGCTCAAACAAATCTGAAATCACTACAATCAAAAATCTTTTAAAATTTGAGTTTGACATGAAAGATTTGGGGAGTGCTAAGAAGATTCTAGGGATGGTTAGAGATAGGTCTGAAAATAAATTGGCTGTTTCCCAAGAAGCCTATCTAAATAAAGTTGTAACCAATTTGGAATGAAGGAATCCAAGTCTGCCAATGTCCCTTTAGCAGCTCACATGAATCTTTCTAGTGCCCATTCTCCTAAAACTGAGGAAGAACGGAGAGAGATCGAGAACATACCTTATGCTAATGTCATAGGTTCCACTATGTTCTCTATGATAACTACAAGACCTAACTTGGCTTATGCAATTAGTTTTCTAAGCAGATTTATGTCCAACCTCGGTAAACCACATTGGGCAGGTTTGAAATGGTTGTTAAGATACATAGTTGGTACTTTAAATCTGGGCTTCGTGTATGAGAAAATGACTGATAAACTAACATTAAAAGGGTATGTGGATTCGGACTTTGCTGGTGACAAAGATAACAGAAACCAACCCACAAATTACTGTAGCAAGGCTGTTATACAAGGCCTAGTGTAAAAACACAATCACATAGGAAATATTTAACCAAAGAGAAGAAAGAGATGAAAAATCTCTCTCTCGAAGAAGGCTCCAGAGAGAGAAACCAAAAACAAGAAAAATGAATCTGAAAAACCAACCGTCTAAGTCTCTCTCCCAAGTCAAGTCATTGATCCAATAACTAAGAATTAATCCTAGCCTTTCATTCCATCAGATCACCTCAACCGTCCAAAAGAAGCACAATCTTTGACACAAGTAAGAGACCATTTGGGGGCTGCCACGCAAGGGCCTCCTCAACCCAAATGGCAGTTGAGTCAAATGTCAAAAAATAACACTGTTTTAAAGTGTTTTTAGAAACACACTCTTTCAATATGTTGCCATTTTGAAGCTGTAAAAGAAAGTTTATTGTTAAAAGGAATCTTGAATGAATTGAACTTCTTGTATGATACTCCCACCATTTTCACAGATAGTCAAAGTGCACTATTACTTAGTAAGAACCTTATCTATCACGAAAGGTTTACATATCGAGGTGAAGTATCATTTTATTAGAGATAAAATCTCTACAGGTGAAGTTAATTTGGTTAAAGTTCATACTGATAAAAATCCCTCAGATATGAGAACAAAAGTTTTATCTGTTGGTAAGTTCTAGTCCTGTTTAACTATGCTTCATATTGACACGGGTTAATTTATTTTGCAGATGATGATGATGAACTGAATGTTCCTTATGCAAATTATGCAACCAGAGAGCCCAAGGTGAAGAAATGAAAGAGTGTGTTTATAAAAACACTTTAAAAAAGTGCTATTTTTGACATTTGACTCAGCTGACATTTGGGTTGACGAGGCCCTGACGTGGCAACCCCCAAATGGTCTATTACTTGTGCTAAAGATTGTGCTTCTTTTGGATAATTGAGATAATCTAATGGAATGAAAGGCTAGGATTAATTCTTAGTTATTGGATCAATGACTTGACTTGGGAGAGAGACTTAGACGGTTGGTTTTTCAGATTCATTTTTCTTGTTTTTGGTTTCTCTCTCTGGAGCTTTCTTCGAGAGAAATTTTTCATCTCTTTCTTCTCTTTGGTTAAACTCTTCCTGTGTAATTGTATTTTTACACTAGACCTTTTATAACAACCTTGCTACAGTAATTTGTGGGTTGGTTTTTGTGGTTGTTGGTTTCAATTTGTATAAACTATGGAGTTGGGGCTAAGTGTTGTGGAAGGATTTGTGTTTGGTTTCTGTTGATCGATGATCGAAACTTGTGTATTCTAAGTGGTTTGATGTAACTTTGGTTCTCTTGGATGGCGATTTGCATAGTGGAATGTGTTCAAGTCCTAAGCTCCCCAGATTAGGCCGTGTTTGGCTGAACTGGGTGAACAAATTTCGTTGTTTTGTCTTGTTTTTCATTTTATCATTTGAGTACTTTGATTTATTGTTTTCGGTTAGAGTTCTTTATCATCAAGAAATACCCAACAGCTGCTTTATTTTTTGTGTGTTTGCAATGAATTGAGTGGTTCCTTCGAGAACCACAAGTACTATCCATTTATCAACTAATTTATATCTATTATCAAATTAAACCGTATATAATTTTTTTCCCGAATGGAGGCACAACAGGCACGAGTTCTTCATTTCTTGGCACGCCATATAGAAAATTCATCTACTTCCTCTACCAGCAGCTAAACATGGAAGAAAACTAAAAGAACATACAACATGGAAGTTTAAATCAGGATAGAAGAAGATCAAGTTAGAATCGTAAAGAAGAGGAGATTGGTCGAAAGAAAATAAGGTGCATGCGAATATATGAAGATTGCAACAGAAAATATAGCAGTTGCAAATACAATTACAAAAGCAAATAAAAATCTGTAGGGAGCAAAGATACTACAGTTAATCAAAATGATGCTGAAAGCTCATCTAATTTCATCCTTTGGACAAGTAATAGAAAGGATCAGAACTAACCAAATAATTGCTTGCTCAGACAAACCGAGTAAGAGGCCTAATATTTTCTGAAAATAAATATAATTATTGGAGTTCAAAAACTCCAACTTTTACTAAAATAGTAATCAGAAATTTTGAAGTTTCAAAGGAATCAATGACCACATAAAAACTTCGAAGCTAAAATCGTAAAAATAATAATAATAAAATGAAAAAAAATAAAATTTCAAGCATAACCACCAAACTCTAAAACACCAATAAAAAACAGATTTATTAGTTTTCATCTTCCTGTATTCGTGAAATATATTCAAACCCAGATGTCACAAAAAACTAAAAACCAAAAACCAAGGTACATTGACATCCCACAAATACCATCACTTACATAGAATCAAACCCTACGATATTACTAGTATACCTTGACAGCTGTCCGACATCAAATTTTGACCAGGGCATCTAGGGCCACCTTTATACTGTATGTTCGAACTAGTATACCGCTTTCTAGCTGTGGGATCCGACCGTAGAACAGGGCAAAAATTACAGTGAACAAGAATCCAAAACTCAAGAACACTAATTCGATGGAGTGTGTATCTCTTTGTTCGATCAGCAAAACTGCAAATCCATGTGGGTAAGGACGAGTTGACTGCTTTACCCCAGTTCTGCTGATAAAGATTGAAAAAACTAATAAATGTACTGATGTAGTGACTGACGGATGGATTCTGCGGAGAAAACCTCGGTGGTTGATTATTTAGGTTTATTTGCAGAAACGGTCCCAATCTATAGACTCTGCGGAAAAAGGATATATCCTTTCATTCTTGATATTGACATCCTCATTTGAACCTTAAAAGCTAAACTATCAATTTCTTATACCAAAAAAAAAAAAAAAACCCTCAAATATCCTTATTTTAATAATAAAAAAGAAAAGAAAATAGGGAAGAAAAATATCTACATTTCTCTTTTTAGGGTGATTCAAAATATTAATACACTTATTATTAGGGATGGCAACGGTTCGTTTCGTTCGGCCAAAATCATTACCGAACCGTCAATTTTTTTGTCATACCATAACCGCACCATAATAACGTAAATCAGTTCGGTTCGGTTCGATTTGTATCTCAATTCGATTCGATTAATAATCACGAAAATAAATTATTTTTTATAGATTCATCCGTCAAGTTAATATAAAACAATTTATGAAAAGAGAGTCAATGAAAACAAAAACATAATATTCTAAATGAAAATGCAAACATTATCCCAAATTCCAATTGTAAAATACAAATTTAACGGACAATATTATGAATATAACAATACTAAATTTTTCCTTCGTTCTTGATTCTTGTACATTATAGTTACTTGATTCATGCTCAATAATTCAAAAGTTTCAACCTTAACTCATATTCAATCTTCATTCAGCACTCAAAATTAATTCCTATATAATAAATAAGAAATATAAGTAGAGAATACAATGATACTAACTGATTCAAAATGGCTTTAACTAATATTTAAATAAAAAAATGTACCTCTTCGTCAACTTCCTTTTCATTAAACCTTATCATCCTTACTAAAAGAATGATTTTTTTTTAAGTGGGTAATCGGTTCGATTTTGATTCGACAGCGTAAATACAATACCCGCACCGTCACACACCGGTTCATTAAAATCAAATACCATATCCGCCCCATTGCACCATCGATTCGATTTTTTTCGCCACATTCGATTCGATTAACCGCAATTTTCGATTTTAACGGTTCAAATTGTGATTTCTACTTATTATTTAAAAGAGTAATAATGAAATTACATAGCAAACTCTTTTTCAAAACAAGCACCAAAGATTTGATGGTTTTTCTCGATACAGAAACACTATGCCCTCATTTGGCCTCCATTAAATTTCATTACATACATTTCATTTTTCTCTCTTCTATTTTTAACCACACAATCTGCCATAAAATAATATTACACGTAAATTAAAAAAATTTAATTCTTTTTCAACCACTCATTTTTCAAAAAAATACTATTCCACTCATTTTCATTTTTCGAAAATGAGGGCCAAACGGAGGCTATATATAACATACCATGTATATATTACAGACATTTATATGATATACCATGTATATATTAAAGACATGTATATTAAAATATAGTATTTTCTTCATAATAATTAATTGTTTCTTGTCTTGTGAATCTTTTTTCATATTTTAAGGTGATCAATTTATTTTTCATATTTTAAGGTGATCAATTTTATTTTTAGTCACACGTTTAATTAAACGCACAACTTCAATGCACTTTTAACCACATATATCACAAAATCTATTAGTTTAAAATCTCAAAATGTTTTGTTAATCAGGGATTTATTAGTTGTCCCGAGGTTAAAATGTTGTGTTAAAATTCTTTACAAAGTCGGTGAGGATAATTAGTACTCTGAAGAATGTGGCTTTTTCCTTGTTCTTTTACGTTTTCTTATTCTTATTTTTTTCCAGCTATTTACTCTTTATATATAGTTGTTTATTAAAATACAAGCAATTTCTTAATTAAAAATGTCTTATTTGGGCTCCATTTTATTTCGAAATACATTTTTCTCGTTATTCTTTTTAAGCACATATTTTTCAATTAAATAATATTACATGTAAATCTCAAAAAAATTCTTATTTTTTAACGCATATTTAAAAAAAATTATTTCAAAATACATTTTGAACTTGTTTGGGAGTTATTTTTTTTCAAAAAATTTGATTTTTTGACTGTTATTTCACTATTTTAGCCGTCATATTTGACTTATTCTCTCACAAGTGGACCCCAATTTTCTCCTAACAGTCATAAAATAAATTCTCAAAATCACTTCCAAACGCGCTCTTTTATTTTTTTCTCAAAAATTAATTTTAGTTGAACCCAAACAAGGGCATAGGATTAAGTAACAATAATTTTATCCTTATTGAAAAGTCACATGCAGGTCACATGATATCAACTTCAAGTCTGCAAAAATTGACGGTAATCGTTATTGGTGACTATTCTACTAACTTGTGAAAATATAAGGATAAAAATGTGATATAAATAATTATTAGGGACAAGATCGAAACTTTCGACAAAGTTTGAAGACCAATTGTACAATTTTACTGTAGATTGCGTCGACAACTGAGTTAATTGTTCCAATGGTTACTGAACTTATGTCCATGTCTTTGATTGGTCACTGAACTTTAAAATATCGAGTTTTGATCACTGAACTTAGGTTCAAGTCTTTAATTGACCATTAAACTTTAAAATATTGAGTTTTAGCCACTGAACTTTGGTCCATGTCTTTGATTGCTCACTAAAATTTAAAATGTCGAGTTTTGATTACTGAATTTTAGAAAATATTGTACCTTATTTACTGTAAATTCGATATTTTTCGAAATTTAACAATTATGTTAGTGAGTAATGTACGACATATTTCAATGTTTAGTAGTCAAAATTCGACATTTTAAATTTTAGTGAGCAATCGAAAAAATAAAACTTAAGTTTAGCAATCAAAACTCGACATTTTGAAATTCAGTGACCAACCAAAAACATGAACCTAAGTTAAATGATCAGAACTCAACATTTTTCAAAGTTAAATGATCAAAACTTGACATCTTAAAGTTCAATGGCCAATAAAAAACATGAACCTAAGTTACGTGACCATTGGAACAATTAACTCTCGACAACCATCTTTCCTACCGTTCAAAAAAAATGAAAAATGAAGAAAGAAGAAAGCCCTAACTAGCTTTCTCTTTCTAAAAATTCATCTTTATCTTCCCCAAATCTACCCTTCGATTTAAATATATTCCCCTGTATATCCCTCATGCATTCCTCCTGAACCCTAAAAAGGGAATTCCCCAATTCAATTTAAACCAAAATGACGGATACACCGGAAAAAACCCCGAACCAGCTAATCTCGCCGACCAGTTCTCGTTCCGTAACCGAGACGGTAAACGGGTCGCACCATTTTTTAATCCAGGGATACTCTCTGGCGAAAGGTATGGGCATCGGAAAACACATAGCCAGCGATTATTTCACCGTCGGAGGTTACCAGTGGGCGATTTACTTTTACCCAGACGGTAAAAACCCTGAGGATAATACCACTTATGTGTCGGTTTTTATTGCGTTGGCCAGCGAGGGCACAGACGTGAGGGCGTTGTTCGAGTTGACCTTGATTGACCAGAGCGGGAAAGGGAAGCACAAGGTGCACAGCCATTTTGATAGGTCGCTTGAGAGCGGGCCTTATACTCTTAAATACCGCGGCAGCATGTGGTAAGAATTTTTATTATCTAGCTCTTTCCTGTGATTTTTGGTTCTCGAGCTGTTTGACGTTTGCGTTCGTTTCAAGTCTCGGAGATAAAAAATTCTCAATATTTTCGGGGAGAATTGGGCTGGTTTCTGTAGGTCTAAGGAAATTTTTTTTTGTCTTGAAATATTAGAAGAATTCATGATTAAATCAGCTTAAGAATTTATCATACTTAAAAATGAATTTGGATTTTGAAAATCACATCAATATTCAAAATGTTTGCTAGAATAGGAGCATTTTGTTTGATCTTGAGTTCACCATTTTTTCTGTATCTCGAGGTTAAATTTCATCTTTTCTTCAAATGCTAGAAGTGTTCTTATTGGGTGCTAAACAATTAGCTATATGGTTTTTATTGAGAATTTTAGTATCTTATTCAATAATGAGCGTTATTGGCCATATTGGAGTTATTTTCTGTTGTGTTTGAATGGCAACAGAAATCCATTTAGCTCCAGAAGTGAATGTTTTAGTAACATTTGTATATATCTTTATCAGAGTTTTAAAGGGCCTTTTTTTCCCATTTGTGATGTGAGGTGAGGCGTAAGCCTTGAGATGCTTTTAGTTGTTAAGTCAGCATGAACCAAAAATGCGACAATAATAATTTTCTAGGAATTGCAATGGAATTTTTACATATTTTAAATTCCATTTCAAGTCTCTTTTATTTTTTCCAATAATGATTAAATTTAATTTTACAATCAATTAATCTGTCATCTAGTTAGTGCATGCATGGATCATGGGTTCATCATGTTTTCCTTTAAACAGAAGAAAAAAGGAAGAAGAATGGGGAAGATGAGAAAAATAGTTTATCAGCCAGTTTTTTTTTTTTTTTTGGGGGGGGGGGGGGGGGGGGGGAAGAAAAAAAGTTGTTAAGTCAGCATGAACCAAAAATGCGACAATAATAATTTTCTAGGAATTGCAATAGAATTTTTACATATTTTAAATTCCATTTCAAGTCTCTTTTATTTTTTCCAATAATGATTAAATTTAATTTTACAATCAATTAATCTATAATTTAATATAATTTATGGCTCCTTAATTAATAACCAGTACAACTGTACAAGTTGGAATTTCAGAAGCTGGTCAACTAAAGAAAATAGTTAGATTTTCAATAAATAGTGGGCCCCCAGTTGAAAACACCAAAAACAGTTAAGGTGCGCCTCTCATGGTGAGAGGCTTACGCCTCATTCAGTAGAGGCGTAAGCTTTCTTTAAGACTCAGATATATTCCTCTAATAGAGGCGTAAGCTTTTTTTAAGACTGAGATATATTCGCTAGAGGCGTAAGCTTTTTTTAAGACTAAGATATACTCGCTTCAAGGCTAGTTTTCAGCACCTTACCTTGAGGTGTGCCTCACAATCGCTTTTTCAAACCATGATCTTTGTTGAATCTTGATGGGAAAATTATAGGGTTCTGGCTGACAATTGGTACTTAATTTGAAACTTAGCTTTTTACAAATATATATAATTTTTTTCTTAATTTTTGAAATTTTGGTTATGGTATTTTGTATGTAGCTTGGGTAAGCAAAAATAAATTAGGTTTGTGGCTAGGTGCAAGGAATGCTTCTATGATATAATCAAAATATTTATGAGTTTTGGAGAATCTGATATGCTTATACTATGTTTTGGACGACAAAAGATATCATTTTTCTGAATGAGCATGTAGATTGAAGGATATGGGTTTAATAGGGATGTACAAGATGTAATTTCTGTTTGAAGGTTCAATTTGATGAAAGTTTGGCAAAAAATGATTGGATTTAGTTATTCGTTTGTTCTTTTTCACAGTCATATGCAACTATTTCACACTGAGTAACTTAGATGATGAGAAGAATTATATGATGGATTTCTACCTATGCCTAGATCGCAAATAAATGGAAATTTTATTGATAAGACCTTTTCAATTGTAGCCAGAGCAATTTCCATTAACCATCTTCTTTAACATTGTACTTCTATTTATTATTTTGTCAATTTTTATGTATGGTTGGATTTGATGTCCATAACTCAATGCATATTTTGATATTCTTATCAGGTGGAGATTATTTAATTATTTGATGAGAATAGATATTATATTTAAGAGTTGTAAATACACCCTTCATATGGGGTGTAATTACAGTTTACATATTGTTTTTATAGAAATTACAAAAATAAATAAATAAAATAAAAATTCTATGACTAACTTCTGTTAACATGGAAGGATTTATAGAAGGACCAAAATACCCTGGCATATTAATATGCAGTACTTGTTTCCTTCTTGAAATA